ATAGGGTGGCCTAAATTGTTTGTACTTTTAGCAAGCAAGTGGAGGGAAGGACAGACCAACCAACCATCCTGAATACCTTGACTATAGCTGGAGTGTGCAGTGAAAGAATAGGGTGGCCTAAATTGTTTGTACTTTTAGCAAGCAAGTGGAGGGAAGGACAGACCAACCAACCATCCTGAATACCTTGACTATAGCTGGAGTGTGCAGTGAAAGAATAGGGTGGCCTAAATTGTTTGTACTTTTAGCAAGCAAGTGGAGGGAAGGACAGACCAACCAACCATCCTGAATACCTTGACTATAGCTGGAGTGTGCAGTGAAAGAATAGGGTGGCCTAAATTGTTTGTACTTTTAGCAAGCAAGTGGAGGGAAGGACAGACCAACCAACCATCCTGAATACCTTGACTATAGCTGGAGTGTGCAGTGAAAGAATAGGGTGGCCTAAATTGTTTGTACTTTTAGCAAGCAAGTGGAGGGAAGGACAGACCAACCAACCATCCTGAATACCTTGACTATAGCTGGAGTGTGCAGTGAAAGAATAGGGTGGCCTAAATTGTTTGTACTTTTAGCAAGCAAGTGGAGGGAAGGACAGACCAACCAACCATCCTGAATACCTTGACTATAGCTGGAGTGTGCAGTGAAAGAATAGGGTGGCCTAAATTGTTTGTACTTTTAGCAAGCAAGTGGAGGGAAGGACAGACCAACCAACCATCCTGAATACCTTGACTATAGCTGGAGTGTGCAGTGAAAGAATAGGGTGGCCTAAATTGTTTGTACTTTTAGCAAGCAAGTGGAGGGAAGGACAGACCAACCAACCATCCTGAATACCTTGACTATAGCTGGAGTGTGCAGTGAAAGAATAGGGTGGCCTAAATTGTTTGTACTTTTAGCAAGCAAGTGGAGGGAAGGACAGACCAACCAACCATCCTGAATACCTTGACTATAGCTGGAGTGTGCAGTGAAAGAATAGGGTGGCCTAAATTGTTTGTACTTTTAGCAAGCAAGTGGAGGGAAGGACAGACCAACCAACCATCCTGAATACCTTGACTATAGCTGGAGTGTGCAGTGAAAGAATAGGGTGGCCTAAATTGTTTGTACTTTTAGCAAGCAAGTGGAGGGAAGGACAGACCAACCAACCATCCTGAATACCTTGACTATAGCTGGAGTGTGCAGTGAAAGAATAGGGTGGCCTAAATTGTTTGTACTTTTAGCAAGCAAGTGGAGGGAAGGACAGACCAACCAACCATCCTGAATACCTTGACTATAGCTGGAGTGTGCAGTGAAAGAATAGGGTGGCCTAAATTGTTTGTACTTTTAGCAAGCAAGTGGAGGGAAGGACAGACCAACCAACCATCCTGAATACCTTGACTATAGCTGGAGTGTGCAGTGAAAGAATAGGGTGGCCTAAATTGTTTGTACTTTTAGCAAGCAAGTGGAGGGAAGGACAGACCAACCAACCATCCTGAATACCTTGACTATAGCTGGAGTGTGCAGTGAAAGAATAGGGTGGCCTAAATTGTTTGTACTTTTAGCAAGCAAGTGGAGGGAAGGACAGACCAACCAACCATCCTGAATACCTTGACTATAGCTGGAGTGTGCAGTGAAAATATAGGGTGGCCTAAATTGTTCGTACTTTTAGCAAGCAAGTGGAGGGAAGGACAGACCAACCAACCATCCTGAATACCTTGACTATAGCTGGAGAGTGCAGTGCAAACCACTCTTAGGAATTAGTGATGTAATGGCTTAAGCTACAATACCGTCGAGCTACAGCACTGCCCAGTATAAAAATAGAACAAGTGATGTAATAGCTATGGTGCCTAAAAATAGAAGCGACGATGTAATGTCTCACGGGTATCTGGGCGGGGACTCGGAGGGGTCCTCTCCCTCAATGGCCAGCGGAATATTCTCGATGGAGATGATGGAAAAATTCTTGCTGAGCTCGATCCGAGAGGGGACGAGAAAATGTCTGTCTTCTTCTCTCCCCTCGCCCCTGGGTGAATTAGTCCTTGATGAGCTCTGGGGGGAAAAGATGATCGGTTAGGGTGCGGAGGGAGAATTCGCCTGCTTGTTAATACGAACACTGTTGAAGCGAAATACCTGCTTAATACGAACCACTTTGAAATCCCCAGGCATTATAACACTGATACAACTAGCTACTGTTATAGTGAAATTCCTTTTAATACGAGCATTATTTTTTGATGGTCCCCTGGAATTCATATTAACGAGGTTCGACTGTACCTCTCCATCTCTCTTGGTCTGGTCGATATTGTGAATGCCCAGGAGGAGACTGTAGTCCATTATCCCGAAGCTCTCCAGAACCTTACAATCTCTGTCTAACGTCTTCATTAGTATCTCGTACTTGTCTGATAACAGATGGACTCCTCCCTCCTGAGTGAGATGAGAGAGGGAGAGAGGGAGAGAGGGAGAGAGAAAGAGAGCACAGTTTGAGTGAGATGAGAGAGGGAGAGAGGGAGAGAGAAAGAGAGCACAGTTTTAGGGAGAGAGGGAGAGAGGGAGAGAGAAAGAGAGCACAGTTTGAGGGAGAGAGGGACAGAGCACAGTTTGAGGGAGAGAGGGAGAGAGAACAGTTTTAGAAAGAGAGGGAGGTAGTGAAAGGGGGAAAATGGAGTGAGGAATGGGAGAGAGGAAGAAAGAGAGAGAAGAAACCCAATGGTATGGACACTGTGTGTGTAAGCTACAACCTCTGTTGTAAACATTACACGTGAGATCACTTGCTCTCCACAACTGATGCAAACAAACACACACACATCTAGACAAACATCAACAGTTGATCACATGACACTCCACACGATCACATGACTGCATCATGTGACTCTCACGTGACCCCCACCTCCGTGTGTTTCTCCTGGAAGTCCAGATCTTTGAAGGTGGGGCTGGACTTGCCCAGTTCGTCTCCAACTGCCTTTCTCTTGTACGTCGAGCCTTTCAGGTCGTACTTCTCGTGGTATTTTAGGGTCGATGGTAGGAGGTTGTTCATTACCACGATGCGGATGTTGACTGTCCCACACTGAGGTATAGAGATGGAGGAGAGAGAGGGAGAGAGAGAGAGAAAGGAGATGTTTAAGCCATTAAAATGTCCATCAAAACTACCTCTCTAGGCCATTTTGTTACTAGGTTGGTTCTTATAAGTTTCGAGTCCCGAAATTTGAACCTACAACACAAGTCATTTCGTGACTTTAAAATGAAGTAACAAGGACTTTCTTCCATCACACAATACATTAAGTGTACCAGGACACCTCTGAATAAAGGACACTTACAATGTCCCCAGGTGCCCCTTATTTAGAGTACCCACAATGATGCATGCATACGTACTAACGTGAATATAGTTAATCAACAATAACAATGTTCAGCATTTGGCAAACATCAGTGATGAACTGAACAATCGTCCGGTACCTTGTATCTGTAGAGGCCAAAAACTTTGGTAGCAGCGTCTTCTTGTTTTGTGTCAAGTTCTATTCCAATAATATATACATAGATGATATTATACAGGTTCATACACATTAGTCGTAAAGATTATGAGATATATAGAACCACCACACCCACCAATACATAAAGATTATGAGATATATAGAACCACCACACCCCCCAATACATAAAGATTATGAGATATATAGAACCACCACACCCACCAATACATAAAGATTATGAGATATATAGAACCACCACACCCACCAATACATAAAGATTATGAGATATATAGAACCACCACACCCACCAATACACACGACATGTTCATTACACAGTTTTCATGATGTTATCAAGAGTTTGTAATATCGTGGAAATTCCTCGTGAAATGGCCCCAAAGTTTGCACAAAAATTCAGTCATGAATTCTCAAAGACACAGCAATCTGCAGTCTGCACAATTACAAATGCTTTTCTGAACTCTGAATAGAAGAGAGCCTGGGTTTTGTCTTAGCAATGGTGGAAATATCCCCTTCCCCTCTCTCTTCTTCTTTCTCTTCCTCCCACCCCTTTCCTTCTTTTGCTTTGTTGCTAAGCCCCCTTCCTGGCAGTGTCCAGATCTCACCAGATAGTATCCTGGTAGCAGTTTCTGCAGAAAATGTGCCTCTTTCTTCTGCACTGTCTTGATGATGAAGGCATCGTCGGCTGAGAGATAGAACAGCGAGCCACTGGCTCCAGGATTTGAGATCTCCCTCATTGGGTGGGCACACATTGCTAGCTGGGGAGGGGAGGAAGGGAGGGAGGGAGGGAAGGGAGGGAGGGAGGGAGGGAAGGAGGGAGGGAAGGGAGGGAGGGAAGGAAGGGATGGAGAGTGAAAAAGGGAACGTGAGAAAGTCTTCAGAGATAAACAAGAGTTTGATTTCTTGCTTCTTCCAAAAAGTAAACATTATTCAACTACAAAGTCATAAAAATGTGTTAAAAGGATTATGCAACCTCACGTTAGAACATTGCTAACACACATACCAAATATTCCTCGGCTATGATCCCGAAAGCCTCTCTGAAGAACCTGCAACACACACAGACACAACAACGACAACCAATTAACTCCAGCCAAAGACAGGGTCCTCCCCTTCCACAGCTCGTTACCTGAAAGCCTCAGGTGAGTAAGTCTTGAAGGTAAAGTCCCTGTGCTTGTGGGCGGGGGTGATGGTGCTGCCATCGGCTGGGAAATCTACCGTTTCAACAACCTCGAAATCTGTCATTAGAATATCGCGTCGCGGTTTAGGCTCGTGACCACCAATCTGGAGAGGGAGAGAGAAGGGAGGGAGGGAGAGAGAGAGAGAGATATTGTGAGCATACGAACAAAGAAGGAGGGAGGGAGAGTGAAACTGACCGAAACTTGTAGCCCCAACTGAAGAGAGGCCATCAGTGTACTGGACGGTGTCTGCGATAAAACAGACATACTATGAAACAACAGAATAAGAAGGTTAAGAGAGGAGAGAAAGAATAAAAAGGTTAAGAGAGGAGAGAAAGAATAAGAAGGTTAAGAGAGGAGAGAAATAATAAGAAGGTTAAGAGAGGAGAGAAAGAATAAAAAGGTTAAGAGAGGAGAGAAAGAATAAGAAGGTTAAGAGAGAGGAGAAAAAGAATAAAAAGGTTAAGAGAGGAGAGAAAGAATAAGAAGGTTAAGAGAGGAGAGAAAGAATGTGGCCTAACGTTTTTGTAAGTGTACTCTCCCTGCTTGTCCACCCCCAGTCTCCCCGAGCGAGTCGGTCTCCGTGTTACGGCTGGTACCTGGAGCACAATACAGTTAGCAAGGGAAGGAAACAGCATTCATAATAGGAAATGGTGATAGTTATTTCAACTTATTTGAGCAGAAACATAGCAACAGTAAGGAACAAGAACGTTTCAGCCCAGAGGTCTTCCTCCGGCTGTTGTAAGTGTCACACACGTCTTCTCACATTCTGTGGAGACATGGCCTTCTGCCGGAGACCGCCGTCAGTTCCAGCAGGAGGAGTTGAGGAAAAGGTGAGAGGGGAGATAGCAGCCGTAGTGGGTGACGAGGTGGGGGGAGGGGACGAAGAGGAACTCACGGTTGCCATAGCAACCTCACCTCACTATATACCTGACGACGACCCTGCAAGTAAAACAAGCAGTAATTCGCACATTTCCAATAAAAGCCCACCCACTCAGACTCAATGATGCGCAGGTGTATGATGTGTACACACATCCTGGCAGTACAGCACAGCTGTACCTCATTGAATTGAAACACACTCTTGTGTTCACAGGTATGTATGTACTGCCTAATAGTGAGCTACATACACACAGGGCCGTCATTTACCTAGCCAGTGCCAATGCCTATCGCCAGAGCCTCGTTTGAAGGGCTAGCTTGACATTAAGATCCGTACAAAAACCGCCCAGTGAGGTATATTACGCGGTAACTGAATCTACAATGCACACACCCTATATATAGCCTCGCCAGTTAGCTTAGCTGTGCACCCGGAGGCTCGGCATCGCTCTCGCTCTATCCCCACCTACAGTATACCTGATTCCAACGGTAGCAGCTTCGCCTACCAATCTGTCCGCCACTCTTCCTAGCTCCGCTAGTTTTGACCTCACAGCGGAGGCGATAACTACGCTCATCGCATTATGAATTCAATATTACACGCTGAATTACGTATAAATAGAGCTCTTTCTATTAAAAACTACGCATGCGCAGCAAAAAAATCTCTAAGACTGTTTGTTGATCTTGGGTAGGATTTCCCTGCAGGCCAGTGAGTACTGTAGGACTAGTCTCTCCAGCCAGGTGGCCTTGTTAGGGAGGATGATTCCACCCTCGAAGAATCCAAGATGGCCGCCGTGTTGTGTGCTAACAAACATTGCATGGGGGTTGAGTTCTGAAGGAGTATGGAGAGAGGGAGGAAGAGGGGGTACAAAATAGCATGATTTAGTGTATCTATTACAAGCTGATTACAGTATCTACCCAGGAAATGGACCTTATGTATATACAATATCTCGACATTCAACCTCAGCACTTGGTGCCATACATACTTGACTGCATGCAATCTCTCACTGCGGGCCTCACTGAGCACCTATTGAGCACTTCACATTTCTAAAATACAGTCCTTATGTACCGTCACAACATTTCTATTAAAAGTTCAAACTACATCCAGTGTTAGGTCTACAGTATAATAAACAGACCAGTGTAGTGTATGGGAATAGAGTGGACCTCCTCTGGGACGATGGGATCATCACAGGCGTTCACCAGGAGGAGAGGGAAATCAGTCACGGTCTCCATCAGTTCCACACAGGACATCCACTGCCAGAGATCCCTCACACTCTCAAACCCCAGCACTCTCCTAGTGTAGTATTCGTCAAGTTCGTGTATAGACTTAGCCCTCCACAGGAGAGCTTCGTTGCTGGGTCCAGCAATTTTCGTCACGTCCAACGCAAACCCGTTGCAGTCGTGACCTCTGTGAGTGATTTTGCTGTTTCGTCCGGCGGGGTTCCGGAGGTTAACGAGAGGGGTTTCCCCCAGGAGTTGCGAGCGATGTCGCCGCATGAGGGAGAGTTGTTCGGAGGTGATGCGATGTGAGTAGAGTTTGGAGAGGTTTGATGTACTGGGGAATATACCAATGGCTCTAAACAAGGAGGGGGAGAGAGAGAGGAAAGAAGGATAACTTGAGCTAATAATTATACTCGAAACAAATGAACAGTTTCTACAGAGAATGGTGAAAGATGTAACAATAGAAGTATAAAATAAGCTTGGGAGTTGATATTGAGACAAAATGAGAGATAAAGATAGCTTTGTAGCTGAGTAAAGATGGGAAAAGGAGTTTGGAATTGAAGCAAGATATTTTTAGGGAATTGAAGCAACGAAGGTAAGAAAGGGCTACTTAGGAAGATAAAACAGATTAAGCTAGGGAATGTAGTAAGAATGAAAGCACAGGAGTAGATAGAAGAGAGAGGAAAAGAGACGACATGGAGGAGTAGGGATGTCTTACTGGTTGGGGTCATAACCCTGGCAGACTGACACGGCACAGAGAAAGTGTGACCTCCAGTGGACCCTCTCTCCAATGAACCTGACACCAATGTTGGCTCCGAGGGAGAAGCCCACCAGGACCCACTGTGATGAGGGATGACGGGAGAGTAAATCCTCAAACACTGCGGCAAGGTCCCCCGTCCCTCCTGCAGTAATAACACCAACAGCAACAATATCTATCGTGGGGATTCATGCTGAGCTAGTTCACTTCCTACAATATTGTCCAAGGCTGAATTTTGCCAGCAGATGTGCGTAATTGATTCTCCGTAATTTACAGAGCATTTGGAGACAGAACGCAGTGCCACAATAAGGACAAAACAACAAACGGACTGATTTAGAAAATGTTTTTATTGAATCACACTCAAAACTGCTAGTGCCGACCCCTCTCTAAGGACACTCCTGAATATAGGACACCACTTTAACACGAGACCGCTCTTGCACACAATAAACCCCTAGAAAAGGAACCTCACACAATTACAATACACATGTATGCTCATTTCTTTAGTGCATGAATTAAAGGGGTTTCCAATGTTATGTGATTGCCATTACCTCATCTTACCATAAGTGAATAGCCTGTTCCCAGTGACAGGCACATCTGTGAGAGTACCCACATGGTTGAGAACAGCCACATTATGTCCATTGCTCAGTAGGTAGTGGACAAATGATCTGATGTAGAACGTCTCGCTGCAGTTTCCTATGCCTATAATATAGTGAGAGAGAAGTTCAAGCTTGCACAGAGTTTGGCTGCAATAACAAAGCCACACCCCCCACTCCCATACAAGTTCTCTGTACAGTAATGTGTGTGTTGCATGACTTGGCAATATTTCCTGCCTGTCTTCAGCAGGGCAGGCTTTCCTCAAAGCAACAGCATATCATACCTCACAACCACACGAGGTTTCTAACATGTAAAGGACATGATACACAATGAAACTCTATGAGATTAAGTCTCATGCAAATTCAAATATGGGTATGATAGGCCATTCAACTCAGCTGCACGAAATAGAAGAATTTCTACTGCATCTCATGGACACATGATATTCATACATTGAAAAGGCTTAAGACAAAGTCTCATACAAATGTGTGGTGTCGTGTGTATATATAATGGTCCTGCATGAGCACATATATACCAGGACAGAGGAGGAGAAGGAGAGGGGCGAGGGGTGCTGTGGCTGGTAGAGGTCATAGGTCACAGTGGACCCATCGGGAGTGGAGAGAGACTGTCTATCTCCCACGGGAGATGGGACAAAGACATGGCCCACGAGGACGTTGTAGGCTGTCTGAATATGACCACTGGCTCCCCACAACAGTGGAGGTCTGTACCTGCACTCACAGAAATAAAGGCAAATTTACACGTGTCAGAGAATGCATTTCTCAAAAATGGACACCATGTTTACGAACTTAACGTGATTTGTGTTGATTCACTGCATTTCAAAAGGTAGCTTTTTAGTATTGTAATGGTACAAATCCATTGTGGGTGTCAGTGAGTATCTTCTGACATTGAAAA